AGTGAAGCGCTGCTGAACCTTCTTATATTATGGTGGAAACAACAGATTTGGTGGACTGTGTATTCGGTTTCATTATGAGCAACTAATTCAGTTCGACCGTGGCAAGAAAACTACGCTAATAGGTATCAACTGGATAGCATGTTGATAAGCCACGTTAACAGGATTTCCGAATAACGGAACACTAACTTCAACCCATTCTCGCCACTAAAGTAAGCCTAACTCAGTTCATTTCAGGCAACCTAATATCAGGGTTTCTCAGCCTGAGACTGGATATGATATTCCCAATATAGGAATTACCCGCACGCTATGTTAAGTTCTGTAGGACCCACTTTATCAGCGAATCGCATCTGGTTTTGATTTCAACCCATTTGAACTGGGCAACTAATAATTGACCGCCGTCCAAAAATTCAAGAACAATAAACCAGATAGGTTTCGGTGACTGTATGATTGTTTCATATATTTCTTGCCCAAACTATACAGAAAGCTCTGATGAGATTGTAAACTTGTATTGAGGGTGGGTGATTCTGTTCAGTCTCAGAGATATGCGCCTTTCAAGGGGCATCCGAGGTAAGCAGTTTGACTAGATCGCATAGGCAGTGCCCATCTCTGGGACCGCCGTTTTGGCATATTTACGAGGAAGAAGTGGGTATTTACGAAGTCAGAAATAGGACAGCCGTTCCAATACGGTTTTCGTCAACAGGAATTAGGTCGCCCGGCTGATATTGACAGTAAAATACTGAATCCTATGTGTTCCATCTTAGCAGGTTCCTCGTGCTATGCATACCAAGGGGCTCACTTAACAATACAATAACCCAGAAAGTTTCTATAGTTTGAGCTGGATTGTTGCTGAACTCCATGACATGAATGAATTGTTAGTTTTTCAAAGGATGTGTTACTTTTCGGTCATTGGTCACCATTACTTTTCTATTCAACTCAAACTATATTACCCTGAACTATCAAAATCTGACTATTCCGCTATCACTGCAGTAGTTCAGCATCACCCCGGGCATCGCTCACCTGCGTCAATCAGTAGCTGATTGGCTCGACGATTAGCAAAATAATTCGGTTGCGATTGAGTTCTACTCGCCAATTTGGCATAATAGCGCGCCTCTTCCTCGTTTTCTTTCTCCATATCCCTTACAACGCCAGCTACTCTCAATGAATTTAGGGGTCCGAGTCCTTCCGGTAAGTCTGTGGTTGCACGTATTGGATCTGTCACAGCGAGCGGAAAATGCGTTCGCTCAACAGTCATTTGAGGAAGGACCCATTCATTCTTTTCTTCATCAAACCTAAAATATGGTGGAAGAGGGAAGCAGTTGTCGCGAATGAAATTCGTCCCATTTGTGAAATGTTCCTCACTAGGAAAAGTATCGTCAAATATTACTGAGGCAGGTGAATACGCGATAGTTCTCGCAAAATACAGAGTCGAGTCGCAATACTCACCTAACAACAAATTTCCACCGACACCCAGACTAACAACTAGTTCCACTGAGTATTTACTTGCGGCCATCCCAAACTGTCTCTACTGAATGTCAAAATATGGGGTTAACCATCAAAGAAACTGTCCATGAGACAGCTGACTGTTTGAGGCACGAACTTATCGACCGAAAGGTTCGAACCCAGCATGTGATTTCAACTGCTCCTATTTAGGCTTAGGCAACATATTAGTATCTCAGTCCTCCTTCGGGTGGCACCGAAAGGGTATTGCTAAACGATTATTTTCATTTCACTTTCTGGTGCGGTGGTTTTCACGAATCCTCAGAGTTACCATTTGAATTTACAAGTCTACTAGAAGATTGACTTCACAGAATGTTTCTCTCAAGGACTTGAGCTTAAGCCTGGAAGTCACACAATCACCGCCTTTAGCGTAGCAATTTTAGTATTTCTATGGTAGAGGTGACTTAATCGTGTGGCAAGCTTAACAAGGCGAATTGGTATCTTCGGTGAAAAATCCACGTGCCACATGATGCAGTCGAGTGAGCGAATTTGGAAACATTACTGAGGAGAAATCATGCAGTTATTCCGGCCAGGTAACAAACTACCCTAGACTTAAATCGTACCCAGTCGGTTTGAGTAGCATGGCAACAGATGGAGATCCCTTCGATTGATGGACGGATGCGAAGTCAATTGGACGCCTCACTTTTGACGTAACACCTTGTAAGTAGGGCAGTAAATCTATTAAAAGTAGCTCACATTTTGACCCCTTTCAGTTGTTAGTTTTAAGTATCTAGAGCATCGAAAATCGCATGAATATCTAAGCCATTTCTATTGTCCTGAACGACGGCCCAGATTTTGACGAACAGTCAATAAGTTGAAAACACTATTGTCGCTTACTTGGCGATACGCTTTATCTTGTCTACGTTATAATAATTGCTGTCCCGTCTGATACATGGTTGTATACGATCAATGATAGCTTGTAGGAGGTCCATTTGACGCTGTTGCCTTCTGATGGTATCGAGGTAGTCGCTGCGGTCTTGTTCAAATTCTGACTGGATGTCGCTCAGTTCCATTCGTAGGGACATATTCTATTAGAGTGATGAAGGAGAAAAACAGAAAACTATTTACGAGACAAAATGGTCTATTATTAGATTGAGTGAAGAAGTCTGTTTCATTGCTGAGCTGACATACACCCAAAACTGGCTGTCATGACGACAGCAGTTTTACAGTAAATAGTGCAAGCTGCTGCTATGGATATCGGGACATGCAGGAGGGACAGACTGGAGCATCACATGTACTTTACTGCATACTGTGTGCACTTACGGCGTCTAAAATGATCTCGTTGTACTGCATTTTTGCAGTTTACTAACACAGCCTATTTTAACAGTCTCAGGACTTGCGGTCCATAAGGACAGACACCATATAATGCGCTGCACAGGTTTCCGCCGTCATCGATGGCTCACCCTCTGTATCGATCTATTGGTTTGTGACCGATGAAGGCCTAGTAGAATGATTCGTGGTCAATCCGGAACGGTTTGAACATTCTCTTCAGTAAGCTTGGTGTAAATCAGCAACCAACACATGCCTTGATCATATTTTAGTTTAAAATCAAGGTATGTATTGATAGTAAACTAAATTTGTAGCATCGTTTTCGAAAAAATTAGGCAGATCCTAAGTTCGAACAACTGCTCCCCATGACTCAGGGACCCAGAAAGGTCACAGAAACGAAGAAACCATCCACCAATTACTGTGGTGTAGTTAACTTGTCAGATAGACCACTTAGTAAAGACGAACGCTGTCTGTTAGAAAAGGGACTAAACTTCGCTCTGA